GTCACTAACATTTGTATTTTGTCTCAAGCTTATAAAGCTTTCAACTTGTTATAATGGAGATTATAATTCTCCCTTAAGTCATTTCAAATTTTAGAATAGAAGTTTGTAAGGTGTGAAATTTTCTTTACCAAGTTACACTTTGGTATCAAATTTTGCTGGAACATACCTATTCCCTGAAGTGGAAAATACCTAAGAAACAGTAGTCATTAAGTGTGATAACAACTGACAGCCAAGATTAATTCATGACAAGAATCAGTAAAGTTCCCTCTATTTCACATGAATACAGTTTAGTGCTGCAATCAACTAACATCTACATGAAGACTAATCAGATACTCATGAATCATAAGTTTAATAGTTTAAAGGACCTTGCATTTGTCAAGGGAAGACTCTATCATTGCACACATATAACTGATAAATAATTGATAATTTCACTTCATCACAATTCTACCTTCTAGAAGTCAAACACAAAAGAGTCACAGCACAGCATAGCTCTTGGCCAGAGCAGTCTCCTGGTCCTGGGCTCCATCTGGTCCCAGACGTCCCAGGACTGCTTCTATTCCAAAGCCAATCTGTCAAGTAAGTCCAACAGCAAAAGGTATGGCCATCAAGAGTCACTTATTATTTTTATCCATGATAGAGTATGTACATGCATGAGAGAGAGAGAGAGAGAGAAGCATCTTTGATGGGGTCTAGTCACATGAGAATTCCCTTTTCCTGGCCCTCCAGCTCATCGGGATCTTGGGAGCCCACACATGCACCTAGTGTATTTTCATGACAACCTGAGGACCTAAGGCTGCCATCAGCCATGTGGCTTTTAGCATAGCAGTTCAGTGTACTACTGACTACACCATGAGGTTGGGCTAAAATTCATTTTTATCTCAAAGGGGGCTGACTGTGCTTGGGGAGAAAAGGACCATTCTGATTTTAAGATACTTGGAAAACTTTAACATAAATGAAATCATGTTCTAGTTCTTCCAAAATAAAGCTTTAGAGCTTTGTACAGGGAGGAACTTAAAAAAAAACTCTAGGTATCTATCATAGGCTTAAGACATGACTAATTACATGAAGGGACTTCAAAAGGCTTGTGGACAGGGGTCCAGCAGGTAGTGTGGTAGTTATGGTGCTGGAATCCCACATGGTCAATCACAGCTTGAGTCCAGGACTGGGTAGCTTGAAACTTACACTGGGTATGCATGCATGCATGACCAAAATCGAAGGAAGGGAATACAGAAGGAACTGTGGCATGGCCATGCACCCCAGAGCCCAGTGAGCCCATGCGCCCTATGGCAAAAACCCTTTAAAAAAAAAAAAGCTTAGGGACAACTGGCTCCATGGAGCCATATCCCACATGGTCAACTGCATGGTTTGAACACTGGTCCCAGTGCTTTAAAAACAGAGTAGATACATGTACTTGTTTACCCCAAATCTCAATAGGATAGAGAAATGGAGTAGAAGGGATTGTGACATGACATACCCCATTTGAGAGTGTTTTCTATCTTGTCCTCTCTCTCTTTTTCTCCCTAGTGATTACACATATCCTCTGGCAAATACATTTTTTCCTGAGAGATATTTTGCTATAGAATACATGTGATTGCTACAGAGACAGAGAGAGACAGGGAGACAGAAAGTGCAAAATCACCCCCCAAGAGAGATGGCCAATCCGCAGTCCTTTCTCAATTCTCCTTTCAGGATTTTGGGCATATACACACGCATGCCTGGTATGAGTTTCAAGCCATCAGGTCCAAGACTCAAACCACAGTCATCCATGTGGGAGTCCAGTGCCTTAACTACTATTAAACACCTGCTGGCTCTGGCAAATACATTCTTTTTTGTGTATGAAAAAATAGAATTAAAGTACGAATTTATTCTGGTACAAAATTTTGAAATCCATGCATAGTTTTTTTTTTCACAATATACATTTTCCACCATCTTTTTTTTTTTTTTTTGGAGAGATTTTCACTGTAGGGTGCGTGCGCTCACCAGACAGACAGAGAGAGACATAGAGACAGAAAGCGAGAAATCACCCCCCAGGGGAGGATGGTCACGCCGCAATCCCTTCTCCTCCATTCTCCTCTCGGGATCTTGGGCACGCATGCACACGCGCCCGGCATGAGTTTTAAGCCACCGGGTCCGGGACACGAACCGCGGTCGACTACGTGGGAGTCCAGCGACATAGCCATTATGCTAACTGCTGGTTCCCTCCACCATCTTTTTGAAGGCTTCTCATATAAGTATGAACTTGAACGGTGGTGTAGCTAGTCTATAACATGAATGTGGAAATAGAACTTGCCCCTTTACCTTGGTGATTTCCTATCCCAACGAAAAAGAACTTAGAAAGAAGAAAAAAGAAATCAAAGTCAACTCACATCAGCAGCAGATGGCACCTCCTCTTGGGAGATTATATAGCTGCCAGTTTACCAAAATGGGGGAGCCCAGTGCCCTGGATTGGTTTTCCTGCTCTCTCAGGCTCATATGGCACCTGAGGAAACCATACCTCCTCTTCCAGCTTCACCACTTTGGCCTGGGCGTTGCTCAGTGCCTGGTCTCGGATTTCAATGTGTCGTCTTTGGTCCTCATTGGTGGAACGAGCAGTGGCCAGCTCTGCTTCCAGCTTCTCCTTCTCCCTCTGGCTTTCTTTATCTGTCAGGACATGAAATATCAATACTGCCAGCCTGAACCTGGCTCAAAGCCTTACTTAAGCAGAACAGACAAAAATCATACCCATTACTAGATAGCTACTGTTCTAGCACACTGCTAGAAAACCAGGATATGCAAGATCTGGACTCTACTACTGGCTTTACCACTAATTTGTTGTGTAAGTTGAGAAAAAAATTAACTTAACAACTGCTTTATAATTGTTGTGCTAAAGCAAGAAGAAATCAGATATAATGTCATGAAAAGTATTAAGCATTATACAAATAATACACACACACACACACACACACACACGTACATACACACACTCATCAAATGAGAAAGTAGGTTGTCTCCTTAATTTTACTTCTAAATGATCTTTCATTGGCAAAAGAGCAATTGAGTCTTCCAATTTTTCAGTGATTGTTTCCTCATGGCAGTGTATTTAAAAGATCTAAAACTGAGTATTTTATAAAATAGACAGGACCTCAAATCCTGCCCTTTACACACTTACTTTCTAAAAGGGATCAAATCTATTTAACAGTATGTCCTTTACAGGGAAAGCCTAACCCAACCAACCCCTTATCCTCATCCGCTTTATCTCAGCATCTGTTCCTCTTGGGAACTCAGTGTCTTTACATAGAGAGTGAGGTAAGACTGTAAGCCACAATATGTTTTACTCTACTCTTTTTATGGGATAGATTGCATGCAGAACACACTCTGGAAAGAATACGGCAGAGTTAGAGAAAAATCATCAGGATCAGAGGAATACAGCAGCCATTTCGCCTGAAAAAAAAAGAAAACATTCTCTACCTCATAACCTCCTGTTTTGCTAAGGTAGCAGAAGTAAGCCTATTAGAGTTTAGAGGTTTAGATTATTTTTTTAAAGTAATCCTATAGCTTGTGTGCTTACACACACACACACGTATGTATGTATATATATATATACCTATATATACACACACATATATATACATACACATGTGTGTATGTGTGTGTATATACACACACGTGTGTGTGCATACAGAAATAATCTATGACCTTAGAAGGGAAGAACTTAGTTGGCAGATAATGATCTTTCCAGCTGGAGATTTATAGAGACCTAAGTTAAGCAACATCTACATAATGAAGACTCAGTAAGTATACATTGATGAGTATAAGGAAAGTAGAGGAAGAAAGCACCCGTATGAGACAGCAGCCAAATCTATAATTTTCAGGAGAATTATGAAATATTATCATAAATTAACATTGAAATAGATTAGTAAAATTAGTCTCCAAACAGATTTTTACACTTTAGTCTATATACTCTTATCTCAATCCATCCTCTTACAGTGGCTGTACCTTGTTCCAGTACCCACAGCTGATCAGAACATTCGAATATTCCACCTGAAGTGATTATCACTGAATGTCAGTAAGGTAATTCGTACTCCTCCCAAATGGTCATTTAAAGATTCCATTGCTCAATCCTAGTTTTAGGTGTTAGTTAGATGTACCCCTGAAAAAGTCAATTCTATTAGTCCAATAGTTAGTCACATTAATAAGCAGTGTACATACATAAAAATGAAATAGATAAACCACTGGGAGACCCATCAGGAAAAGAGTTAGAAGAAAAATAAAGGATATAAAAATTAAGTAGAGGAACAGAGCCACAGAAGTGGAGCTAATTTTTCAATCTTAACAGAGCTTTTTGCAAAAGTGTATTCAGATAGAACTGAACACTTGGCCGAAGTGGGATTTCTTTTCTAGAAATATATAATCTGCCAACGTTTGTACCAGCAGAGATGACATGTCAAAATACAAAGATGGTTCAATACCACGTTCCCGACTCTGTTCTGAGATATTTTAATAGCACCATGATTCTAGCCCCTTCCCTGCTTTGACTTGCTGTTGATTTGAACACATTAGTTAACACACATGTCAACCATATTTTGATTAACCTTCTTTTTAAATAGAATAACAAGACCCCTGGTTTCTATTCTGGCATATAAAGTACTTAGAAGTTGCTGCTCTGTCCTAACAACAATTAGAAAGCTGAGCAAACTGAAAAATCATCAACTCTTCTTAGATCCATAAGAGAGGTGAAGTTGCAGGAGAAACTGCTGCCCCTAAAACTGAAGAGACAGACAAACAAACACAGAATCACAATTTACCCTAGTGGAAACCCATGAGCAGGAAGTTCGGGGGAACAGGTACCAGAGTAGAAGAACCTGAACTGTGATTGAGAGATGGCTGCAGACTCAGTGTGGCCAACCTAGAGGAATATGTCCAGAGACACCCAGTTGTAAGGGAGGGGAGTTCCCAGTTTTTTGAGTATTTTTTTTTTGAGAGGTCTTTTTGCTATAGGGCGCGTGTGCTTGCCAGTAAGACAGAGAGAGACAGAGACAGAAAGTGAGAAATCACACCCCAGGGGGATGGCCACGCCACAATCCCTTCTCCTTCATTCTCCTCTTGGGATCTTGGGCACACACACACACACACACACACACACACACAAACACATGCCCTGGCATGAGTTTATGCCACTGTGTCCAGGACTTGAACCGCAGTCGACTACATGGGAGTCTAGTGACATAGCCATTACACCAACTGCTAGTCCCCCCAGTTTTTTTTTAAAGTTTTACCTGCAGGAGTTCAACCAGGTTCTCACAATGAAGATGGGAGAAAAATTCCTTCATGTTTTCAGCAGAGGGAAGGGAAAATAACTATTATGAAATGCACCAGGTCATTGTTTTTGTTTGTTTGTTTGTTTTTTTCAGATCATTGTGTTTTTAACAAGACCTGCCCTCAAGAGAAACTATTCAACTATAGCCCAACCTATGGGGAATCTTTGCAGGACCTCAACTGGCCTGAGGGAAAGGGAATACCCAACTTTAGTCTGCTCTTGCCTTCTACATAAGAGAAGGAAATACCCAGCTGAAGCTCTCTAGTCACCCTGTATCATCTAAGGGGGTGAACAAGGAAAACCTGAGAAGCAGGTATGAAGTTCATAGTCCAGAGGCACAGATTCACTGAAAGAATGAGCCCTAACGTATAGGATTAAAGAACATTTCCTCTCCCCTCATATATTAGCACTACACCTCTGAGGGCCTGTTTAGTGCAGTTCCTTTTACCCACACATCATGTCTGCCACTCAACAAAAAAATGACAAGGCAAAATACACAGTTTGAAGAGACACCGCAAGCAGGGACCAGCGGTTGGCGTAATGGCGATGTCGCTGGACTCCCACGTAGTCGACTGCGGTTCGCGTCCCGGACCCGGTGGCTTAAAACTCACGCCGGGCGCGTGTGAGTGTGTGCCCAAGATCCCGAGAGGAGAATGGAGGAGAAGGGATTGCGGCATGGCCATCCCCCCTAGGGGATGATTTCTCGCTTTCTGTCTCTATGTCTCTCTCTGTCTGTCTGGCAAGCGCCCTATAGCGAAAACCTCTCCAGGAAAAAAAAAGAGAGAGAGAGAGACACTGCAAGCAGAACTAGACACAGCTGATGCATGGATGTTGGAATTACCAGACTGTAAATTTAACTACATGGTTAATATACTAAAGGCTCTAATGAAACAAGTAGTCAGTATGCAAAACCAGCTATAAATAGAAAGATAGAAATGCTAAGAAAGAACCAAAAATGCTATAGATTGAAAGAGAAAATAAAGATATAACATTAACTCATGTTTATATTAAAGATATAATTTTAACTCATATTTATATTAATATAATATTTTAAAGGATTAAATGAGATAATGGATTTATTTAAATGAAAGAAATATTAGAAAGCACAAACCCCAAAGGAACATGAGGATGATCACCATCATCACAGTGATTAATAATGAAAGACAATCTTTAGTTTCAAAATATGCCTTTCATTGTGATGCAATGAATTCTACATACAAATGTTCCCCTACTTATGATGAAGTTACATCCTAATAAACCCATCACAAGTTGAAAATGTAAGTATTATAATAAATCTGGCCCTGCAGTGCAGCAGTTGAATGCTATGCAGAGGAGGCCAAATCCCACATGACCAACAAGTCTGAGTCTCAGCCCTGGTGGTTAACATGCTGGGCACATATGCAGGTGCCCAGGATCTTCATGGGATGGAGAACTGGAGGAAAGGGGACTGTGGTGTGACCAGGCCCCATTGGGGAGTGCTTGCTTTCTCTCTTACACACACATACACACACAATGAACACACATGTACATACCTTCTAGCATGAAAAGAAAAGTATCATAGTACATAGAACAGCAGCTGTTCACCACCATGTTTATGTGGCTGTCTGGGAACTGTACTATCACTTTTGCATCATCATAAAGTAGAAAATTCCCAAGTCGGACCATTGTAAGTCAAGGAGCTTGTGTACTAGTTTTCAGATTGAGAAGGCTCTCACTTGACCTATATAGTTAACAATTCTGTATTTCTGAATTCAGGAATG